GCGGGGTGGGACGGCTGCAGCCGCTGCTGGGCTCCCCCGTGCCGGACCTTGTCTCACTCCCATGACTGGCAAAATGAGAGCATATGTCCTCCTCTTGTTCCCTCCCCAGCTAGTGCCTGGCAGCTGGCACAGAGTAGGGCCTTCACATACGGTTCACTTGTTGAATTGTGTCCAGTTGAGTGACCTATGCTGTTAGGAACTGCACGTTAGCTGTGTTTCTTACCTTCTTGGAACCAGGATCCGCTGGAGGAAGGAAAATAGCAAGCGAACCTGAAAAGAGTTTTGACAGTGAGTAAGTGCTCTGAAGAAGTAAAAGGGAGAGGGTGGAATGGTGTCCTTGGATGAAGTAAGGAGAGGGAAGCTGTGAGCATAGTTTGCTCCTGAAGGTTTTCTCTTTGTCTGAGGTCTGTTGGGTCTTCTTCGCTCATCATGATTCCCAAACATGAGTGGACCGTAGAGGAGGATTGGGTAGAATTCCTTCTTTTAGGCTCCTCTGGAATCTTTATGGACTGGACCCTTCTCTGTGTGAAGACAGCCACTAGTAGTGCAGACTTAGAGAGTTGTGCCTTTGGGACTTTAATAAGGTAGCCGTGGGACTTTCTTCATCTTGGTAGCCAGCTGACATCTTGGCACATATAAAGTGACCACACAGCTAAAAGTGATTCCTTCCTTCGTACAGCCAGATAGATTTCCCGAACTTGCCCTCGGAGATACCAGGGGTCATTGTCTCTCTGGCAAGGTGGTCACTTAGTGTCTTTGAATACACTAAAAGTCTCAGGGAACAATGACACTTGACCCCCATTCCCAAGAGGACTTTGGGAGTTTAATGAGCTCATGGCCTGCTGAGACCTCACCGGCACATCCAGTTCTGCTGACTCAAACCAGTGAGCTGGACGAGTCAGAGTACAACATCTCCTGCTGTCTCCTTGCAGGGCTAAGTTTAAAGCTTGGCTCAGAAAAAGACTGGCTCCATTTCTGTGCCTCCTGGCCCAGGGAGCCAGGGGCAGAAAACGTGTTTTTGCTGCTCTGTTCTTTGTTGGTATCTGGCAATCTGCACCTGGCCCTCCTTGAGGCAACAATTTTCCTGCTAAAACAATGCTGGGATTACAGTGTTCCCAGTTTATCACAGCACAGCTGATTTCTCTGGTTCCAGATCTGGGAATGGTTGTGGGAATTATCTCTACCTTTTGTTAGACAGCAGCTCCCATGTTGGCTGTAGTACGCATGAGGAGGATGAGGACAGAGAGAGTTCTGTGGTAGCTTTCAGGGAGCAGCTGACTGACTGCCATATTGTTCCCTCAGCCTCTTCTCCCCCAGTTCATTAAGGAGGGTGGGATTTTTCACAGGCACAGAAAATGTGAGAGCAATCCAAGTGGAAGTGGAGCTGTGACCAAAGACAGGAGGTTGGGAAGTTCTGCATGTTCAGAAGGGAGTTGGTGCTCCTGGCAGGACTTTGCTGGAGTGCTATGGGAGATGAAGGAGAAGGAAAAGGCAGAAAAAGCTTGTGCTCCAGGCTCAGCCCTTAATGGTGCTTTTGGTGGGACCTGGGCAGCCAGGAAGGGCTTCAGTCAGGGGAGTACTCAGTGCCTGGAGGTGGGCACATTTCTTGGTCATTGAGCAGGAGGCTGCCTCTGATTTCTGAGACATATGCTCCACACCCCCATATCCTACCGCCAAGTTATTTGAGTTCTTTCTGTCCACCTACATTTGCTGGTGCTTTCACTTAAGCGTGTCCCTACTCATTCCCTTCTCACTTAAGTATCTCAGTCGAATGACTGTAGCAGCTGGAAGTACAGCCACCATAGTCTCAATTTAAATCTTCTTTCACAGCTTAAACTGTCCTTTCTAAGACAGCTGCACTTTGTCATTCATTCCTTTTCTTGGCGGGGGGAGCTACCTTGGCCTTGCACAGCTTTGATTTTCCAGCTTGTTCTGAATTATAGTGATCAAAGTTGAATTAGCATATAAGAGCTTGGATCTAGCAAGAGATGAGATAGAGTGGGATTTGTAGGGAATAAGAGTGACCTGAGGTAGGTCCCATAATCTTCTCTGGGCCTCAGTTTCCATAGTTCACGAAAGGAGAAGAGCCAGGTCTGGCAGTGATACCTGTAATCCCAGCATCCGGAGTCTTAAGACCGGAGGATTGTCCTGAGTGACAACCTGTCAGAGGGAAGGGCAGGCCTAGTGTGGCCATCCTAGTTTCAGGCCTCTGAGAATGTCCTGGGGGACATGACATGACTCCAGGTAGTACCAGGACCTTTATGCTGCCTCATGGAATTGTTTCACCAGGTCCTCTGCAAACAGTACAAACAGTGCTGCTGCCTGCACACGTGGCTCTGGTGTTTGACTTTGGGGCGGCTGGCAGGACTGAGTCTCGTCATCCTTTTTGCCTCTGACCAGACAGTCTGAAGGAAGCGGGGAGGTGGCTAGAATGTGAAAGGGGCCATTCTCCTCCAGTCCAGGCTGTTTGCTCTTAGGGAGGCTCTGTTTCTTCCTGACAACAACTCCAAGCTCTCTTAGCTTTTTTCCTCTAGTACACACTAGGTGCATCACTTAAAAATAGCTGCAATTAAAGAGGTATTGAAAAGAACTGACAGTTCCTTAGCCTACTCCTTTTTCTCGTTTTATTGGGGGCCAACAGGAGTTGGCACAAGTTGAGATAGAGGAATGGCTTTACTGTTGCCACTTGTAAAAGTACATACAAGCTGGGAGTGGTGGCATATACCTGTAGTCCTAGCTTCTCGGAAGGCTGAGGCAGGAGGTTCTTGAGTCCAAGAGCTTATGGTCAGCCTAGATAACCCATCCCCTCAAAACAACAAAATACACAGGGCAAAGTATTCAGAAATAAAGAAGACTGATTAGTACTGTTAACATCCACGTGTGTTGAGTCTAAACACAGATAAAAATAGGGTGCTATGCCACGTGGCTGTCGTTAGCTAAGAGCTAAGATTGGTAACCCTGGATGTGCCAATAACAGGTAGTGAAATCTTACTGGCTATTTTCTGTAGAATGCTTTAGATGCTGCCTCAAAATATGGAAAGTTGAGAATAAGAAAATAAGAAAAATACAAATAAAGTGCATTTGTACTGTATCCTTCCAACAGGATGAGCCCCCTCCTGTGTCCCCCTCACCCAGTCAGTCACAGGTGCACCTGCATCCTGGCCTCTGCCTTTAGGTGCTGTGAGCCTCAGACAGTTTACTTTTCTGTAAAATGAAGCCAATTTATTTCGTCTAAAAACCAGTTTGCAGTTAGTGAAATGTTTTGAACATCTAGAAGACAATTAGAACATTTAAGTCTTTGCTCTCAGCCCAGTGTGGGGAAGCATAGCCCAGGCTAATGGGGGTGGGGACCCCGAAACAGGAAGATGGCTTAAGCCCAACCTAGGCAACAGAATGAGACCCTGTCTCAAAAAACAAAAAGAGACTGTTCTGAAGCTAATGAGAGTTGCTTGGGGATAAGAAGTGCTGAGTCTTTCTTTCCCCTCCTACCTCCCGAGTCTCTTTTGGTCTGGGACAGACTCGGCGGGCTTGCACTTTCCTGCCTGTTCCTCAGCTTTGCTTTTGCAAAGAATCTTGTTTGGAGATAACTGAGCTTTCATCCCTGCTTCTGCCTTGCAAATCTGGATTCCTGCAGTAGGTTTAGGGGCCTACACCCAGCCTACCCTGCTTTATATTTTATTTTTTTTGAGAGTAAGTCTGTCTGTGTAGTTCAAATTTACAGTAATCCTCCTGCCTCAGCCTCCCAAGTAGGAGATTACAGGTGTGTGCCACCACACCTGGCCAAAGATAACCTCTGTTAGGAAACTTGGCCCTTGGAGCGCTCACCTAATTTTCCATGCACACAGGCATATATTACTGCTGCTCCAGTTTCTTCTGACTTCACCTTTTCCTTTTTTTTCTTTTATTTGCAGTACTGTGGATTGAACCTCAGGTCCCTTGCATGTCTTTTTTTTGTTGTTGCTTTTTGAGATGGTCTCACTATGTAGTTGAGACTGACCTGGAACTCACTATGTAGCCCAGGTTGGTCTCGAACTCACAGTGATCCTCCTGCCTCAGCCTCCTGAGTGCTGGGATGACAGGCATGCGCCACCACGCCCAGCTTCCCTTGCATATCTTACATGTTTTGCATGGCAGGCAAGTGCTCTACCGCTGAGTTACACCTCCAGCCTAAGTTTTATTTCAAGGCAAATTCTCACTAAGTTGTCCATCTAGTCTTGAATTTGGTGATACTTCTGCCTCAGCCTCCTGACTAGTTAGGGTTACAGGTGTGCACCACCACACTCAGCTTTACCTTCCTTTCCATGTCAGGGCTGGACATTGTGCTGAACTTTAGTTTCCTCATGTGTGAAATACATCTGTTTTTAGGGCCCATGGGTCTGTTTAGAGTTCATCTCTGGAGCTCTGTGACTCCCTGCTTTCCTCAGTCCCATTCATTGTCACTCGGGATCAGGAAGCACGGGTCCTTTTCACATGGCCTTTTTCCCACTCACTGCCCCCTTCCCTGCACCCAGTTTGTGTGTGTGTGTGTGTGTGTGTGTGTGTGTGTGTGTGTGTGGTACCGGGGGTCAAACTCAGGTCCTTGTGCTTGCAAGGCAGGCGGCGGAACCTCAGAGCTAAATCCCCAGGCCATGCACCCACTTTTTAATTCATTTGTATTCCCAGAATGGTTGATCAGTAAGTATTTTTTTCCTCAGTCCTGAGAGTATTTGTTGAACTAAAAAGGCAGTTTGTTAGTAACTATCCTACTCGTCTTTCTTGCCCAGATGTCTCATGAAATGATAAGACCCATTCTTTGCACAAACTATCTTGTTCCTGTTTTTCCCCCAGCTTTATTGAGGTATTACTGACAAAAATTGTGTATATTCAGGGTATACAAATGTGATGGTTTGATATATGTATATATTATGAAATTATTACTACAGTCATTTACACAGTCATCACATACAGTTACTTTTGTTGGAGGAGACTAAAGACATTTAAAACCTACTTTCTTAGCAAATTCCAAGTAAACATTATATTACTAACTATAGTTACCCATGCTGTACATAGATCTCGATAACTTATTCATCTTATACCTGAAAGTTTGTATTTTTTGGCCATGTTTTCCTGTGGCAACCACCATCTATTCTCCCCCTGCCAAGTTCAGCTTATTTAGATTCCACATATAAGTAATATTATATCATATTTGTCTGTGTCTAGCTTATTTGGCATAGTGTCTTCCAGGTTTGTCTGTGTTATCTCAACCTGCAGGATTTCCATCTTTTTCCTGACTCAATAACATTCCTCTGTGTG